AGAGAGAGAGAGAGAGGAAGAAAGAGAGAGAGAAGAGAGCAATCCCATACCTCCATTCCAAGCCCAGATCTCCGAACTCCACCTTCTCACCAAGCCGAAACCTCCTTGCTCCAGCCGACTCTGCCTCCTTCCTTCCTGTTCCGATCGGAAGTTACGACATTTTGTTCGGAGGCAGCCACAGGAGCTCGCTTGGCCGTGAAGGTAACGTTCTCCCTCTCACCTGCTTCTCGGCCAAATCCCGTGACTCTGCCGAGCCCGAGAGTGAGAGAGAGAGAGGGATTTTTGTTATTTTATTACTATTATTATATTATAATTAATTATAATTAAAATCTATAATTAATTATAGTTAATAAATTCAGTATAATTAATTAATGATTAATGATTAATTATAATTATCTGTTTGATTATAATTAATTTTAATTACTTATTAATTAATTATAATTGTAATTAAAAAATTAATCTTAATTAATTAATAATTAATGATTGATTATTAATTATAATTATTTAATCAATTATAATTATTATTAATTATGATTGATTATTTATTATAATTACAATTATTAATGGTTAATTAATTTTAATTGATTGATATTAACTATGATTAAGTATGGTTAATTATAAATTAATTATAATAAGATTATAATTAATTATAATTAAGTTATAATTAATTAAAATTAAAAAAATGCTCCCCCTTCCCTCTCCTACATCGGCATGCATGACGGACCGGCAAACCACCCATGCACGCTTTTCTCTAGCGTGGTGGGAGGGAACCCGGTGCGACGCCAACGACGAGATAGGCGAGTGACTCCTCGATCCTCGTGCCGACACCGACGAAAGCTAAGGTATAACACTCCTAAACTCTAAGCCTTTGAAAACTCGTTCCCGACGCTTGCAACGCGGCGAACGACCAACTCATGCACGCTTTTCTCTAGCGTGGTGAGAAGGGAATTCGTTGCGATGCTTGCGACGGGGCGGGTAATCAAAACCCCATTTCCGGCGTTAGCGGCGGACCGGAAAACCAACTCATGCACGCTTTTCTCTAGCGTGGTGGGAAGGGAACCCGGTGCGATGCCTACGGCGAGGTGGAGTCAAATATAAAATTGCTTAATTTAAACTGGTGCCCACAAACGCCTTTCTCTGGCGTGGTGGGGAACAAAATTATT